TTTTCCATGGAAGAAGTTAAGTTTATGCTGCTTTAGTTGCGAAACTATAATAAACTGTGAGCTTAAAGTAAGGCAAGGTCTATTGTTACGCTTGGCTGAGGGTCGGTGTGCATTCCACAGTTGTTGGCTGTCAGATTTATGCTACTTTTGTGTGTCCTCACCTTACGGTTGCAGTCTCCGTTAAACGCAATAAAGAGGCTGTTTTGGATGTGTGTGTTTGTGTATGTGCGGGTCTATGTGGCATAGATTCTCAAGGTTGCACGAGAATCAAGCACCTCAAATAAGTGCTATTTATCAATGTGGCAGAAAGCGAAAATGCGGACGTATGTTTACCCGCAAAATTCCATTTAAAAATGGTCAACATCTGTTGCCAAATTAGCCACAGCCAGCGAAAGAGTGAAACAGAAATATAGAGTGGGTTGAGAAAGGCACAAAGTACAGAGTACGAGTGATGAAAGCCTTTCACATTGAAAATGAAAAGGGGTTGCCGGCTGTGGCAAAGTGGCCACCAACGCAGCTGGTGCTGTGGCTAAGCGCAAAATTAAGCAAATTAAAAGCCGCACACAGAACACCAGCTGCATAAATCATGTGTGTGTCCCGTCTGACCCATCTGTATGTGTGTTTCATGCGTTTTGCAGTCCGTGACCTAAGTTGGTATGTGAAAGGAACCGCAGCTCAGGGTCACCTATGGCCCTCAACGAAGCACAAAAAAATGCCATTGAAAAATGTTCGCTTTGCTGGCCATTTTCAGATTTTTATCAAGCCGCTAAACTCGTATGCGCCCAGCTCCACCCACTAAATTCCGTACAAAATCAGCGCTTAAAAGCCGTTGACGTGAAACTTTTCCTTTTTTTTTTTTTCAAGCAACCAAAAAGGCTGCCAAAAACATTTAAATTAAAATTCAGCGAAAATAAAATGACGCTCAAAAATAACAACAAAGTAGAAAATGCCACGGTTAAAGCACAACGAACTTTTAATGCTCTTAGTGCGATTTATTGTTTTGAGAAGATGAATATATAAAATGATAAGCTCTATCTTTGAGCTACTAAATGCAACACAAATAACTAAAAGGGAATTAATTGTTCAACTGGTTATTAATCTATGTAACTGTACTTCAAATCGCTTAAGAAGAGTGCACAAAACAGAGTTTTAGAGAAAATAAGCATTTGCGAGTATGGTACACATAAGGCCATATCCGTAAAACAGACGAAGAAATGAGAGTGAAAACAATTCTCATCTGAATTCAATTCAGTTCTCATATGAAAGAATATGAGTGTATACGCATTGTAAGTATTCTGACTGATCTGCAGTTAACCTTCATTCGAATCGCTTATATATAGTGAACATTAGTTGATATTACGCTTGTCCCAATTCGAGTCTCACTTGGAGTAGTTCGGGGTTAAAATGCAAAAACGCTTTATAGAATTGCGAATACTGTTGCCATTGATTTATAGCCAGTGTTACAGGCAGATTAGAATCAGCGACTTAGCCCTGTGCAAGAGTAGGGTATATTAAAAAAAAAAAAATCCAGAAAGAGAGTAGAGCTCTTTACATGGCCTTGGATGTGGCAAGAGCAGCGGCAGCATTAACTGTTATTGTCGCGCGTGGGCGTGAGCTTGGCGGCGCACATTTGGGCATGGGTCGCGGATTTTGGCCAAAATATGCGCAAAGTGTAAGCCGTTTAGCGCTCTTTGATGGCCTTCCAGCAGCAGTGGATAATTTATAGCACGCTTTTGGGCCGACTGTTTGGCAGGGGACAGCAATAGCCAACAATTGGGCAATTTCGAGAGGCAGACGCCTAACAAATGACAGTTTAAAATGCGTGACACACACAAACATACACACTCGCCCACAAACACAAGTCTCCTGCTGCTAGTTGCGCTGACTGCAGGCAAAGCACTTTGGGTGCATGTTTAATGGCATTTGTTGCTAATCAATGAATAATTTATGGGCCAAGGTTTTGCTGCCTGCTGGCAGTAAACCAACAATCGCAACAACTGACACACACAGCTACGCACACACACCCTCACGTGCTCGCACACATTTGCAGCTCTGACTGCTTGTGGTGCGTGCCCTGCGCTAGGCAAAATCATGCTTTAAACTATTTGCCAGGACTTTCGGCTGGTTGTTATTGCTGCTGTTGAGTGGTCGTCGTTGTGTTTGTTGCAGTTTGTGTTAGTGTTGCATTGCCCTATGCTGTTCGTGTTACTGTTTGGCGTCGGCTTACACATTCCCATCGCTTGTTTCAGCTAATGCCTTCAGGTTGTTGTTGTTTTTGCGTTTGTTTTGTTGTGTCGCATTTAATATGCAATTTTTAATAGCGCAATTATAATTTGCATGTTGTAATAGTTTTTTTTTTATAACATAGCATAGCACTATAAAACATTTATATATATTTTCTTTGCGCGTGTGCACTTGTACTGGAAATGCAAAAGCTGTACGCCTATGATCGAAGGGGTAGCTGAGCAGTTTATATATTAGTTATATATATTTGCCAAAGTACACAATGTTCACAAAAAACGGTTAAGAACAGCATGCCACAAAAATGTTTTTTAATAAACATACGTAAATATTTTTGTATGCAAACGAAAATATTTTATATATAAAGTTTTTAATATATTTATTTACTTTTTTTTGTAAATGCTTTATTGTTATTGGATATTATTTACCAACACAGTTTAAATACTTCACACCTCTAATTTATTTGCTTATGTATTTATAATAATTATTATTTTATTGAACATTTTTAATAAACATATTATTAACTATAACTAGCACAACTTCATGTTTAACTGATTCATTGTTATTACTATCAATGAAATTTAAATATGATTGCTAAACAAGGCTAATTGGGAAGTTGCAATTAGTACACATAAAACGGAAATTTCAGCAGAAATAACAATAATTTAATATAGAATAGAATGTTATTAAATGTATACCTATTAATTGAACGTTATTTTGCTTACTTGTCTTGCGCATTGCATAGCTTGATTAGAGTTCTTTGTAGTAGCTAATTTCGCTTAATATTTTATGAGCTATGAACTTAAGAAAAAACTATTAAATAGCTCCCTGCACGCTTCGATTGCTAGGCCTGACAACGGCCCATTAAAATGTACACTTCTTTCCATTTAAATAATGTAAATTCTATCGATCGATTTGCTGGCATTCGCTAAGACCTGACAAACTAGTGAGTCGATTCAGAACTTAACTATGCCACATGCCACAAAGTTGACTTGGCCACAAATTTAATTCGGTAATAAGCGATGACATTGGCAATTGGCATGCCCTGAAAGTGTCACTTGTGGTGTGCATAAAAATTTTCCGGCAATTAATCTTGATAAGGGCTTTTCAGCAATCGCAATAAACACGGCAATAATCATAACTAACACAAAGACAACAAATGTAGAGCCAACTACAAAACACGAAAAATTGGCCAAGTCGAAAACAAAAACTTTTGGACGGCATGTGGGAAGCCATAGCAGACATATGGGCCATATAGGGCATTTAACCGTTAGATAAATGCTGACGAGGTCAATGGGCGTAAAGCGGAAGTTATGGCCGGGAACCAGTCGGGCCCAGCGACACGTACAAATAAAGTAGATGCCAGCGGCAACTTTGGGCCATTAGCTGAGAGTAGACAAAGGGGGACTTGGCGGGGAAAGATTGAGAGTTGGGAAGAGACAGCTTCACGGGCATTACGTGCCCAGCCAATAATCTCTGTCAACATCAATTTGGCCGGGGCCTGAGAAACGGAAACTAATTAAATGGTGTCCCATAAATTGCACATTAAAGAAAATTTATTGCATGCCCAAAATCGAAATTATTGCCAAAGTCGCGAGACGTTTAATAAACTTGGCCACCAATTTGCCTCGCAACTTGGCAAACGTGTCGCGATCGTAGCATACTTTACAGCGCAACCAAATTGTGATTTATGCACCGGCTTATCAGATGTAAGGCTAAGAGACAGACTTGCGAGACGTACAGAATTAAAGCCAATTTTTTTGACCTGCCCAAATGCGTGCTAGTTAGCAGCTTTCTGGTTAACTTTACCTTTTTCTCTGATTTGCTAAAGTTTTCGTTTCGTCATTTAGCATTAGCAAATCTCTTGTTAACTCATACAACAATTTGTGCTAACGATGTTCGCGAGCTATGAAAAAAAATTCCATAGAACATGGCATGTGGCCGCGCTGATCCGAACCTTCTTGTTGTGCTTGCTATCCACGTGTCACTGCAAAGCTTGCGCATTTGATTCTGCACTTTTAGTGGTACGCACCAAATTGTTGCTGTGGCTCATACTGATCTTATTATTACCAAATATACTTTTAAAATTATTATTATTATTATTATGTTACCCTCATAATTTGCTTGTTGAGCTGCATTCAACTCGATTTTCAGCTTGCTGCAAAAGTTTAGGACGCTTAGCTTAAAATCTAATACGAAAGTTTTGACGTTATCATTTTAATGCAGCCCTTCGTTGGCTGTGCTGCTACACTTCTCTTTCTTCTGGCGCTGTCAGTGCTCGATTCCTGTGGCAGTCAATTGCTTTCAGCTGACAGGCTGACTCCTTGACTGCCAGCATTTATGGCATTCCGATAATGGTGCAGCTGAAGTACTAATGCATTAAAAATAGAAAATGCATTATCTTTTTAAAACACAATAGAGAATCGCCCTCACTTGACATTTGATTGAACATTATTTGCTGTTTTTTTGTGTTTATCAGCACATTATCTGTTTCTCGTGGCGTAAACATAATGCCTGGGAAAAGTAAATTAAGAGCTGCGCTGTATACGTTGTATGAGATACGCAATGTCTAGCACAATTAAATAAAGAGATCCATTTTATACGTTATATATATCCATGTTGTCCATGTTGTATACGTTATATATATATTTTTTATATATTTTTATATTTTAGCAAAAGAGAATTGAATTGAAAAGAATTGAACAGAAAGCAATATAGATCCTTTGCACACTAAGCATTGATTAGATGTTTGGGATCGATTATTTTGCAACATGTGGGCCGTTTTAATTGAAATATAAGTGAAATAACTGCATTTTAATATAGAGCAGGCTTCCTACAGAGCCACCGAAATATATATGTTTTTTAAAGTCTCATGAGTTGAATTTCTTGACGAAAATATACACTAAAACAACCTTACTCTAAAGATTTACATGCAATTGAGTACACACTTTCTCCTTCCAGCTGTTGAGCAGAACCTTAAGCATATTGACTTTGTTTAAAGCCAACATATCACGCATTCGGCTAGTTGTCCAATATTTGCTGTACGTTGTCTCTTTTTTTTTAATTTTTTGCCTTGCATCGGCATTTGCTCGGCTTGATGAAGGCTAATGCGGTTTGCACTACGCCATGTGGCAAATGCGACAAATACGAAAGTTGCTGGCTGCTGCAACACCCGATAGACCATACACAAGGCTACGGCCTTCTTTTTTTATTGGCAAATCCCATTTGAAATGTTGACCCATACACGTTGTTGTTGCTTTTGTTGTTCTGAAAACATTGTCACGTGGTTTTTGTATTTAGTTGCACCGCCTGTTAGCTATGGACTCACGACTGGCAAGGGCGACCATGTGAGTAGGAATAAGGGACGTCATGGCCAGATTGCATACCTGACTGCCAGTCGTTGCTGATATTGTGTGCGGGCGAGTGTTTTTTCTTCCTTAACTGCAGCATAGCAGCAGGCAGGCAGCTGTCCCCCCTTTTCAACGCTCCTTGTAGAGCCAATGCAATAAATTCCGAGCTACGATTCGTGTAGCATTGCCAGACGTGGGAGCTATTGTGCTACAACTTTATTTTGTTTTTGTATGCGTGCAATCGATGTTGTTGTTACTGTTGTTCGTGTTGCTGCTGCTTTGTTGTTAAGGAAATTGAAATAAATGTGTGTGTAAATGCGTCAAAATGAAGTTCTGAAAATGTTTTTGCCAGTGACAAGTGTCAATTAGAAAATGTTCAATTACATTAAAGCAGACAACAACAACAATAGTGCGCAGATATAATAACAAAATACAACAACAACAATAGACATAGCAAGTGATTCTTTGTAAGAGGCAGCCACTACTTGAAGCCATTGTTGTTGGCATTTTCATTGTTGTATTGGGCATAGCATGAAGATAAAGGAAAGCAAGCGAAGAGAGAAATGGAGATACAGAGCAGGAGACGGACAACTTGCCAGATAAATGTAATTAGTGGCACTCTGAGTTAACTGGAACAAAAGTTTCGCCCGGCCAACGTAGAGTATAAAGAACATTGGCAAGTAATGTGGCGCAGCATAAATTATACTTTCAATTAACATATTTAAGCAAGAGCTTACATGCTGAAAACAGAATCTCAGATTGAAAATTTAAATTTTCCTAGAGAAATATGAAAGATATAGAAAACATAAAAACTATTTGGAACAACGTGTTTCTCATAAAGTATATATTTGAAATTGTAAGAAGATTTGTAAGAGGTAGAAACTTTCATAATTAAAAAACAATTGTATTCAAAATAATATAATGTTTATTGCAGAAGTTTGTGTTTTATGAAAATGTATGAATATTGATTTCTAAAAATTCTAATTTATATATTTAATAATAATAATAATAATACATTTGTAAGACGTAAGTCAGATAAAAGGAAAATGTAAATTCATTACAAATTATAATTCACTATTGCTGCTCATTCATATTAAAGACCATTTTGCGCTTAAATTTCTAAATTCATTTGTTTACCTTTAAGTTTAATAAATTAATTACTTTTTCATAATTCCATTTATGAGGGTTTGTTTGTATTTAAGCATACTTGTTTGGCAATATTTGTCTTACTTGGTGGTAAGCATGGCGTAGGCTTTATATGCTACACGTACACTTAATAAACTGTCTGCTAATTAAATAAATTATTAATCATCAAATGTAGAGACAGCAGCAGCATCAGCCTTAAAGCTGTCGTTGTCCTGTTCCAAGCCAAGCAATTAAGCAAATGATAAATCTATCATTATGTGGGCACTGTGTATGGTGGGGCCAAATGTAATTGCTGCACGCGGTCAGTGGGCCACAAGTTGTTCGCCGTTGTAGTTGGCAGCGTGTGGGCATGTTTGTGTGTGTGTGTGTTTAGTGTGTGTGCAACTACGCTGAACATGGCGTATGCGCGATAATTTCATTCGCCTCCCCCGCACACTTTTGAGCTGCCTGCAACGATAACAACATATTCGCTGGCATTTATAAACTGCTCATTATTTGTATTTAAATAGGCACCCCACAAGCACCGTAGCCCCTCAACAATTCCATCTATTGCACATCTGTTGTGTGTTTGGTTGCTGTTGTTTCTGTTGCTGTCGTTGTTGCCCGGCTGCTTGGTTGGCTAACAACAAATTGAAGGGAAATGATTCCATTTCATGCTAGATTAAACATGTGTCCACATAATTTATCGATTATTTATCATGTGGTCGCCTGTTTGTTTGTAGACAAAGTGACGCAGTGCCTGCCGGGCACAACCAAAAGTAATATAAGTGTGTTTATCTGAGTGTGTGTGTGTGTGTGTGTGTGTATGTGTGTGTGTGTGTATATGGATGCGTGTTTGTATGTAGACTTTTGGTTGGGAGTGTGCGTAGGCCTTAGCGATTATATTGCGCACACAAGTGCAAAATTAGAAACAAAAGCCCTGCCCAAGGCGCTTTCTAGCAGTTTGCTTTATGCTATTCCCAACGTAGTAACCAACTCACAGTTTGCAATGCGCAATTCACAGTTGTTGTTGTTGTAGTTCTTGTTGCTGTAGTTCTTGACATCGCTGTTGTGGTTGCCAGCTCTTCTAGTCTTATTTTTTTACGTTATACGCATTGCATTTTTACCGCATACAAGTATACAAACACCCGCACACACTGTACAAAAACATGAAAATGGCAGCCATTTTGTAATCCGCATGCGGCTGGGTAATCACCTCATCCAGCTTCCCTCACGTGCGGCAGCATTGGCCGGGTTTTTGCGGCACATTGGCGCATTATGTGGCCGCCTCCATTGATGTTGTGATTTTGTTGTTTTGTTTTTTTTTTTCTATCTGCCATTTTTTTCTTTCTTTTTTTTGATGCTGGTTACACGTTGGTCAGTCGATCGATATTTTAAAGCTTAGCCAAATGATGTGGCCGCGTTAGGTGTATAAAACTATTTCAGCGAGAGCACCACAATTGCCAGCTTTGCCTGCTTTAGACGCATTAGGGCACAAGCAAGATAGGAACCGTGCACAAAGTCTGGCCACATCTGTCAGGGCTTTCCTAGTTTTCCAACAATTAATTTAAATTGACGAAAAGTGGCTTATTAATAATGCGGGGGTCATGAATATGATTTGTATTCATTACATTTAAAATAGGTAACATACTTAATTAAATGGATCGAAATATTAAAAATCTCAAATCAATAGTTATCGAAACCCAATCAATTTCAGAAACGGTCAAGAAATTGCAGAAACATTTGCTTGTATTATTTATTAAAATTCAATAAAAATGTACCACATTTTATTGTGCTACCTTTTACAGATGGTGACATTCTGCGCGTGCTCGTCAATAATTCGGCACAAATCAAATGCGATGTGGGCTCTAGTTTGCCAGAGGACAAGGTTCTCCTGGTTGTTTGGTACAAAAACAATTTGCCAATTTATAGGTAAGGTCACAGAGTTGAACTTTAATATGAACTTTAGAAAATGTGCCGAGTTTTCAACAGTTATGATACGCGTGGAGCCCATGCAGGAACACCCTCACATTGGCGTGATGAGGAGGTGCTCGAAGATCGGGCCGTCTTTCGCACGCACAAGGAGCCAGCGGAATTGATTATAAATCCGGTTAAGGTAAGTCAACCCAAATGGCCATAGCAAAAGCTAAAGTGTCAACAATACAACAATCCATAATTGAATTTTTGTTACCCACCACAACAGGAAAAGGATGCGGGCAACTTTCGCTGTCGTGTGGACTTTAAGCTATCGCAGACCAGAAATAGCAACGTCAATTTGGAAGTTGTTGGTGTGTATAAAAAAATTGAATTTTTGGGAACAACATTTAGGTAAAGACATTTCAAAGGGACCAAAATAATTTGAGGCACTCGCGGCGTTCGCGGCTCAAATATAAGAGCTCTAGACGGGATTCCCCTAACCGTTGAGGTCTAGCTCCGAAAATATTATACAAAAACAGGATTTCCATACCAATTTGTATCGAATTTATAAAAATGGCCTTTTTTATTGATGATTTGCTTCGGGCCCTGTCAACTGTTTTATTTATTATACTTCTTTTTTTTTGCGAAGCATATTAAAATAAAATGTAATAGTACATTATCGTAATTAAATGTTTTATACCCTGAACCAATTAAAAATGGGTATAAGGGTGTATTGCATTTGTGCAAAATCCAAATGTATGTAACAGGCAGAAGGAAGCATCTCCGACCCAATAAAGTATATATATTCTTGATCAGCATCAATAGCCTAGTCGATCTAGCCATGTCCGTCTGTCTGTCCGTCCGTCCGTCCGTTTGCTGTTGGAAGAAGAGGGTTCAGGGTATCCCCTAGTCGGGAGCTCCCGACTAGAACCTCTTACTTGTATATAAATAATAAAGTATAATACATTTATAATTAAATCAATTTTGAATGTGAACGCAATGCAACTTAAATTTATTTTTATTCAAATCATAATCATTAACATTTTTATTTTTATTATTTATTATTTTAATTTAATATATAAGACATGCCTCAATATATTTCCTTTCAATCCAAATTACATGAAATGAAAAAATAAATGCATTTCATCAAAAATAAATTTAAGTTTACCGACAGCAACGCTTTAAGCACCTAGAACTCAGAAAAATATATTTGTTTTACCACATTTATTTTATGTACATTTTTTGCCGGCTGTCACGCCGAAATGTAAAAAATGCAATTAACATTTATTGGCTTTTTTTTGCGTGCTGCACGCATAAATTAGCTCAAATGATTTTTTGGTTAGCCGCAAAACATACAATTTAATATGCAAATATATATGCACATATATTATAAATATATGTGAATATGCCCGCCGATATAGGACCCATTTGGTACATTCCCTTTGATGTTTTACAATGTACAAATTATATGTGATTTGCGGCTGGCGAATGTTTAAAACTGTCGAATTTGGTATTTGGCTAAGACCTAATTGATAGGGCAAATGTATGCCATATAACTAATTGGCCAAATCCCTTCCCTTTCTATAGTGCCTCCACATCAGCCGAACATTTATAATGATCGTCGCTTGCGCATTGATTCTCGTGCGGGTCCCTACGAGGAGGGCGGCAGCCTAGAAGTTACCTGTGTCGTCTATGGCGGTAAGTAAACGAGTTTTAGCATTAAGCAGCAAATATAACTTTCCCCGGGCTGGTTTTATGAAATCCAATCAGCAATTAAAGTTTACAGGGATCGTTAAAACATAAATTTTCGGGCACGAAACCTATCAGAAATTAAAATCGCGCTAAGAAATGAAAAACAATTCGTTGGAATGTTGTCCGCAGTGGCATGGGGTGGTCTAGGGTGGTCTGGGGTGGCATGGCGTTGCCTGGTGTGTACGCGGCCAAACAAACAATGGGTCGCGGCATAAACAACAAATAATAAATAAGGTAAATAACATTGGAATTGTAAGAAGCGAACAACAAAAGTCACCGAACAAAAAGCCAATTGAAAGCGAACGGCAAAGAGAACGCCAAAGTCAATTTCTCAAATATATACCAAGCGCACAAAAGGATTAAAAATTATCGGGGTTGTTGGCAAAGAGAAAGGCACGGGGAGAGGGTGGAGAGGCACGTTAATCCAAAGAATGAAAACGTTGCCTTTGAGCATAGCCAAGCAATTGTTAAGCA